CGGCCCCGCCCCCGCCCCGGCCCCGCCCCCAGTGGCCTCACCTGCTCGGCCTCCCGCAGCTGGCCCTCCAGCGCCTGCTGCAGCTCCTGGTGCTGGCTGCGGCGCCGCGCCTCCTCCTCCTGCAGCAGGCGCTCCGCCTGCCGCTGCGCCTCCTGCAGCAGCTCCAGCTCCTGCAGCTTCCGCTCCTTCTCCTCCTGCAGCTGCTGCAACCGCAGCAGCTCCTCCTCCTTGGCGGCCCGGCGCCGCTCCCGCTGCTCCCGCTGCTCGCGCCGCTTCTGCTTCAGGTCCTTGTGCAGCGATGTCTTCCCCTCGGCCTGCAGCCGGATGGCCATCTGAATGGCTGCGAAGGGAGCGGGAGGGAGTCAGCAGGCGGCTAGCCCGAGGCGGGCGGCTCGAGGTGGCCCGCTGCGGGAAAGGGACCTTAGGAGTCGCTGGAGTCGCCTCCAGCCTCCCGCTGGGCAAAGTGTCAGCAGCCGCTTTACACAGATGAGGCGACTGAGGCCCAGCCAGACCCAGGCCACCCCGTGAGCAACTCACCGGCGGTCCACTCCTGGCGCTGGCGCGTGTCCGAGGCGCTCATCTCGTACGTGCGGGAGGCCGTCTTCACACAGAACATGCAGCGCTTTCCCTCGCGGTCAGGCAGCACCTGGGAGAGGGCAGTGTCCAGGCAGGCTGGCCTCACTGAGGTCAGGGTCAGCTCCAGCTCTAGCTCCAGCTCCAGCTCCAGCCCCTCCTGGCTGACCATCTTCCCTGGCCACCCTCCCACTCTGTTTGCCGGAGCCTGTGTGCCCAGCGTGGAGTTAGTTCTGGGGCTACGTGTGTCCTCACGGCTCTTGTAGACTTTGCTCTTTGAAGTGGGAGTGGGCTGTTTCCATCTTGGTATCTCCCCACAGGGCCTAGCATCTAGTCGCCACTCAGTGTTCATGCAGGTTATGCTTGAACACCTCCAGTGACCGGGTCCTCACTATCCAGAATGTTCTCCATTCATTTATTTCACAGATATTTTGGAGTGTCTGCTGAGTGCCACTCATTGTTCAGGCATTTGAGATACTGATGTGTGCCTCACAGACCAAATCCCTCCCTGCTAAGCTACACTCTAGTGGAAAATAATAGTTACCACGTTTTGAGCTTCTTATGTTGTAGGGTCTGTACTGGTGTTTTATATGCATCATTTTATTCACTCCTCCCAGACAACCTTGTCAGCCAGGCATCATTATCTCCACTTTACAGAGAAGGAAGCCGAGGCTCTAAGAGGCCCAGAGCTTGCCCAATTCACACTGCCTGTTAGTGGTGGAGTTGGGATTTCTGCCTAGATCTGTGTTCTTGCCACAGTGACACCTGTTTCCTCATTTGACAAAAATGGACAAAGCCTCGGGTGGCTATAATAATTTTTTAAAATGTAAAATAACAAGTGTTGGTGAGGATGTGGAGAAATTGGAACCCTCATCCTCTGCTGGTAAGAATGTAAGCAGGTGCAGCCACTATGGGAAACAGTTTGTTCCTCTAAAAGTTAAATAGAATAACCCTATGATCCAGCAATTCTACTCCTAGGTATGTACTCAGAGAAATGAAAACACATCTCCCCCCCAGAAATTTGTACATGGATATTAATAACAGCATTATTCACAACTAGAGGCCTAGTGTACGAAAATTCATGCACTCGGGGGGGGGGGGGTAGTCCCTCAGCCCGGCCTGTGCCCTCTCGCAGTCCAGGATCCCTCAGGGGATGTCCACTTGCCGGCTTAGGCCCGCTCCCAGGGATTGGGCCTAAGCTGTCAGTCAGATATTCCTCTGGCAGCCTGGGAGCCCTTGGGGGATGTCCGACTGATGGCTTAGGCCTGCTCCCCATGGGAAGTGGGCCTAAGCTGCAGTCAGACATCCTTAGTGCTGCCGAGGAGGCGGGAGAGGCTCCCGCCACTGCCGCTGCTCTCGCAGCTGTTAGCCCGGCTTGTGGCTGAGCAGTGCTCCCCCTGTGGAAGCGAACTGACCACCTGGGGACAGCTCCTGTGTTGAGTGTCTGGTGGTCAGTGCATGTAATAGTGACCAGTCGTTCTCCCATTAGGATCAATTTGCATATTACCCTTTTATTATATAGGATAGCAAACAGATGGCAACAACCCAATGCCTAGCCTATATAATAAAAGCCTAATATGCTAAGTGTCTGGTCATTCGTTCATCCATTCAACCAATCAAAGCATAATATGCTAATGATATGCTAAGGCCGCTCAACTGCTCACTATGACATGCACTGACCACCAGGGTCAGACGCTCCAACTAGTAGGTTAGCTTGCTGCTGGGGTCTGGCCGATCGGGACTGAGCGAGATGGGCTAGACACGCCCTGGAGCCCTCCCATGGCCCCTACCTCCTGCCAGCCCCACCCACGATCGGCCCCCAACACCCCCATCAGGGGCAGGGCCGGCCAGCCAATCACCTGTGGTCCCTCCCCCCAGCTAGCCCCACCCCTGATGGGCCCCCATTGGTGGCGGGCTGGTCAGACCCCACCCGTGCACAAATTCATGCACCGGGCCTCTAGTCAACAAATAAATTGAGAAGCAAAATGTCGTATATCTATAATGGAATGTTATTCAGCCATGAAAAGGAATGAATTCCTGATCCATGCCACAACATGATGAACCTTGGAAACATTATGCTAAGAGAAATAAGCCAGACACAAAAAACCCAAATATTGTACTATTCCATTTATATGAAGTGCCTAGAATACTTATTCATGGAGACAAAGGAGCGGTGGGTGAGGATGAGGATGAGTTATTGCTTAATGGGTACAGAATTTCTATTTGGGATGATGAAGAAGTTTTGGAAACAGACGATGGTGATGGCTACACAACACTGTGACTCTATTTAATGCTACTGAATTGTACACTTAACATGGTTAAAATGGCAAATTTCATGTTATACATATATTTTTCCTACTATTAAAAATCTTTTTGTGCCTGGCTGGCATGACTCAGTGGTTGAGCATTGACCTATGAACCAGGAGGTCACGGTTCGATTCCTGGTCAGGCAACATGCCTGGGATGTGGGCTCAGTTACCAGTGTGGAGCCTGCAGGAGGCAGCCGATCAATGATTCTCTCTCATCATTGATGTTTCTCTCTCTCTCCCTCTCCCTTCCTCTCTGAAATTAATTTAAAAATTTTTAATTTAAAAACCAAACCAAACCAAAAAAACCTTTTTGTTTTAAACCTCTAAAACAAGCATGTCAAACTCGTGGCCCATGGGCTGCATGTGGCCCACAACGAATATTTTTATGGCCCCACCAATATAACAGTAAGAAACGTTTTAATAAAAATTTTTAACTTAATTTTTACAAAATCCTGTTATACATAATCTATATATATAAAAGCCTAGCCCTGGCTGGTTTGGCTCAGTGGATAGAGCGTCAGCCTGTGGACTGAAGGGTCTCAGGTTCGATTCTAGTAAAGGGCACATGCCCCAGGTTGTGGGCTCAATCCCCAGTAGGGGGCAAGCAGAAGGCAGCCGATCAATGATTCTCTCTCATCATTGATGTTTCTATCTCTCTCTCCCTCTCCCTTCCTCTCTGAATTCAATAAAAATACATATTAAAATAAATAAGTAAGTAAATACATAAATAAATAAATAAATAAATAAATGCTTAAGTGACCGTTACAACTGTGTCACTGTGATGCACACTGACCACCAGGTGGCAGATGCTCAACACAGGAGCTGCCCCCTGGTGGTCAGTGCACTCCCACAACCAACCTCCCGTGGCCGGCCCAACCTCCTGTGGTCCCCCTCCCTGGCTGGCCTGCCCCAATCGGCCCTGATTGGGACTGGGCAAGATAGTCCTTATCAGCCCCCACCCCTGGCCAGGCCGAGAAACCCCACCCGTGCACAAATTCGTGCACCGGGCCTCTAGTTATTAATAACGAACTACAATGTTTGCTAATGACTGAGTACTATAATCATGTTGCATTCATTTCCCCTTATGCGCCTCACGCACAGACGCACCATTTCCACTAATACTAGCAGCGAATATTTTAGCAGCCGATTGCCACGTCATTAGTCTTGGACTGACTTGTTTGGTGTGCACAACAGGAAATATTTCGTCTTTGGAGAACAAGAAAAATAGGTTTATTTGCGTTTCGCTTATTAATTTGTGCAGTTATTCAGTGTCTGGTAAGTTAATGTTCAAGAAAAAATATTAATTTTTATTAAAATGTTCTATTATTTAATGTCAATGATTACTCATTTATTTCAGCCCGTTGTATTCAGCATGTCTTTATCGAAATAAACCTACGTTTCTATGAAAATTGAAGCTTTTGTTTTTTTGCGGCCACATAAACTTAAACTTTGCTTATTTGGCCCATGTTAGCCTTTGAGTGTGACATGCTTGCTCTAAAATAATAATGGACACAGCCAAGGGAGGAAAAGGAAGGGGAAGGGGGAAAGGAGAGGGGTGTGGAGAAAGAACAGGAGGTGAAGAGTTGCCAAAGGGAATGGACTTTGGGTGAAGGAGAAAGACCTTTAAAGCGGATTTTGAGGTTTTGCTGGGTAGTGTGAGACATAAGCCATCTCCTCTGAAATCTTTAGCAAAATCCACATTATTCACCAATGACTGCAGGTTTATATATATATATATATATATATATATATATATATAGAGAGAGAGAGAGAGAGAGAGAGAGAGAGAGAGAGAGAGGGAGATTTCAGAGAGGAAGGGAAGGGAGAGAGAGAGAAAAACATCAATGATGAGAGAGAATCATTGATCGGCTGCCTCCTGCACGCTCCCCACTAAGGATGGAGCCCGCAGCCCGGAAATGTACCCCAGACGGGAGTCAAACCCGGTACCCTTCAGTCTGAAGGCCAATGCTTTATCCACTATGCCAAACCAGCTAAGGCTAAAAAAAAATTTTTTTTTTTATTGATTTCAGAGAGGATGGGAGAGGGAGAGAAAGATAGAAATATGGATGAGAGAGACACTTCGATGGGCTGCCTCCTGCACACCTCCTACTGGGTATTGAGCCCGGCCCGCAACCCAGGCATGTGCCCTGACCAGGAATCGAATCCGGGACCTTTTGGCCCATGGGGCATGCTCAATCCACTAAGGCACACCCGTCGTGTTGCAGGATTTTTTAAAAAAAATAAAAACAACAACAACACACCTGACATGGATAAGAATGGCCTTGAGATACCCAGGTATGTTTGGGTTACACACATCTAAGCAGAAACAGTCACTGGCTTTTCTCCACTCGCCCTCCTGAGCCTCTTGCCCTCACACCCCACGGAAGGCCTTCTGGGCCCCGAGGTGCGCGCCAGCCCTCCCCTGCCCCCTTACCTCCACACAGCACTGCCCGTCCAGGGGGATAGTGCCCCTTTTCTCCTTGCACTCTTCACTCCCAAAATAGCAGAGGCAGCTGGGCTGCAGCTGGAACCAGCGTTCGGCCCAGTTCCTCCTCAGGTGCCCTCGCTTCCACAGGTAGCCCTGCCAGACAGGGCAAAGTCAGAGGCTTCACTGCCCCCCTTCACTCCTCCTTGGGGTCCTCCCCTGTTGCCTGCTTGGCCTGACCTGCTTCAGGACATCTTGGATGAGCTCCTGGTAGACCTCGTGGATGGCCATGCTGAGGGTGTCCCGCCCCACGCCGCGAAGGCAGCGGCCGGAGTTGAAGAGCTCCAGGAACTGCCAGACGCTGAGCCCCCCGGTGGTCTGGGCCGCCTGGGCCTCCTGGGCCAGCAGCTCCTCCAGCTCCGCCAAGCTCACCTCCAAGCTCATGCTGCTGAGCACCTTCTTCAGCAGGTACTCCACCTGCAGGGGGAGAAGGCCTGTGACTGACCAGGCAGTGTTGCTGGTACCAACACTAGGGGGCGCTCCCCACCTGGCTCCCAGAGCCTGGGCAGAGGTGACCAGGAACAGGGGGGTGGGAGTGGGAGTGGGGGCAGAGAACTAAACTGGTGGACCAGGGTAGAGATTTGGGAGGGGATCCTGGAGTCCCAACCCCAGTCAGGCATCCACTCCCTTTCCCCAACTTACAGTCCCATTCCTTCCTGCCTTACATGAAGGGCAGGCGAAGGTAGGCGTTATAGGCTAGGTAGGGGCTAGGTAGGGGCGAGGCAGAGGCAGCAGGTCACAGAACATATCAGAGCAGGTGCAAGAGCCCTCTCATCCAATACCCTCACTTAGCAGATGACAAAACTGGGCCCAAAGGGGGAAGTGACTTGTTTTAAATCACACAGCAAGTTGGTGCAGCCAGAACTAGACTCGGGTCTCCTGAATCCCATGTGAGCCCTCTTCCGAGCCCCAACCCTGGGGGCCCGCCCTTATGGGAGGGCGAGGGGCCTGACGCTGGGGGTAAGCAGGGCAGGGACAGGAAACCTGTTGGGGAGGAACGGGAAGTGGTGGTTGGGGTACATCCTGCTGCAGTTGGTTCACCCTGTGTGCTGATCACAGCAGCAAACAGCCTTCTGGGAGGCCACCTGCCCTGACTGGCAGGGTCTGGCAAGGCTGCCACCCCGGTGTGTGTAGATGGACACACGGCCCTCTCCTGCCCCAGCAGCTTCTTGGGAAACCCCGGGTCTCAGCTGGGACTGGGGTGGGGTGCGCCAGTTCAGGGCTCAGGTGGCTCCCCTCAATGTTCCCACAAACAGAAGCAAGGATACAAATCTGAGAGCAGTCAGATGTTTTGAGTACTTTGTAAACACGGAGGACCCTCCCCGTTTGCTCTAATCCAAAGACTTAAGTTCACCCCGACACCCTCACAGCCTAGAGGGCTTAAAGGGCAGGAGAAGGCTGAGTGGATGCGAGAGGGTGAGAGCAGAGGGCGGCAGGTTGACGGAGAAGGGGGCCGTGCCCTGACCTCACTGATGAGTTGAGGAGGGAGGGTGCATTCCTGGCCTCTACTCCCAGGAGACCTCCCTGGTCCTGCGCTGAGTCTGCCCCTGCTCCCTGTACTGTGGCAGGAGGGGAAAATCTGGAGCCAGGTAAGATGCAGTTGTCCACCAGGAGTAATGAGAGGGGTCCTAGAAGGGTCTCCCTCCCCCTCATAGCACACCTTCTCCCAGGGCCACAGTCCTCAAATCCTGCATCTGATCTTAAATGTTTTTGTTTTAAATGCCCAGTAATGAATCGGCATTCACATCTCTGTGTAAATAGAATTACAGGTCATTTTCCGGCTGTGAGGCCGGCAGGGCCTGAGGAAGTGTGGTTTTGCTTCTCCTGGGAGAAGGCACAGGTGTTCTGATAGGGGCGGTTGGGGGTGCCCGCAGGTAGCGGGGTGGAGCAGGCATCAGCACGGGAACACAGAGAAGAAAGGGGATGTGGGAAAGTACAAAGGCCACTGGGCTTCCTTCATGGTGGGCTGAGGCCTGTCCTCAACTGGTGCAGTCCCCGGGGCTGCCATCACCCTCACCTCATCGGGAACCATGATCAGAGGGTACTTGTCCTCAGACAGGAAGTTGAAGAGGCACCAGAGGCGGAAGGCGTCTTGATTGGAGAGCATGCTGTTCCCGTTGCTACCCGCCCGGTAGTTCTTCTTGGCCGTCAGGGTCCAGCACAGCTCATCAAAGTGCTCCTTAACAAAAGCCCCCTCCTCCACCTGCCCCCAGGCCTGAGGTCAGTCAAGGAGGCCGCTCGGCCGGCTCTACCCCACACCAGGCTCCAGCTGGTTTCTCGGGTCATCTACTCTCCTGCTCCCCACCCAGCCAAGTCCCCTCTAACTGAGGTATCCCTGAGCTGATTACCAGGTAACTAGCTGGTTCCAACCACCCTGACCGCCCCCCCCACCCCACCCCCCCCCACACACATCCACACCCACCCAAGTTCCCTTAGCCCAGAGGAGAAAGAAGGAAGGCCCTGGGGGCGGGGGGGTGGACAGTCAAGAAGAACCTGAGAAGATAGTGACAGGAGGAGCAGGGGGGACAGCAGAGGGGGAGCTGGAGAGCTCTTTGTACAGGTTACAGCCTGAAGCTGGAGGTGGGGCTCGGCAGGGAGGGGGCAGGAAGCTGTGGGAAGGGTGGAGGCTAGGAGGGAGCTGAGGGAGACTGAAGGTGAGCTCAGGGGGGCAAGGAGGGGTGAGTGGCTGGGAAGTGAAGGATGGACATGGGAGAGGTACAGAGGGGACAGAAGTGGGAGTTTGTCGGGGAGGACCTGTGTTGGGTGCTGGCTGGGAAGTGGGGAGAAGTAGAGGTGCCTCCCCCCGCTGGGCCCCACCTTGTCCAGGATGTACTTGTTGAGGTAGGGCATGTATCCCTGGCTGGACACGGGGCCATCGTCATCGTCTCGGAAGTGCTCCTCCAGAGCCACGGGGTCGTGGGGGATGTGCAGGACCGTGTACAGGTTGTGGGACAGCACCTGAGACAGAGGGCAGTCAGCCTCCCTGCACCCCCACCCGAACCGGGCCCCCAGACAGCCCCCACCGCTGTCCCCTTCCCCATCCTGGGGAAGTCCTCTGCACTCGTCATGCAATTCAATCATAACTGAAACACACACAGATATAATGGAATATTATTCAGCCATAAAAAAGAATGATTTTTGCCATTTGCCACAACATGGATGCTAAGTGAAATAAGTCAGAGGAAAACAAATATGTATAATCTCAATTATATGTGGAATCTAAAACAAACAAACAACCACAAAAAGCCCTCATAGATTCAGAGAACAGCTTGGTGGTTGCCAGCAGTAGGGAGAGCGGGTGGGGAAAATGGGCGAAGGGGGTCAAAGTTACAAACTTCCAGCTATAAAACCAGTCACGGGTGCAACGTCCAGTGTGATAACGGCAGTTAATAGCACTGTATTGCATATTTACAAGTTGCTAAGAGTCCATTTCTCCAGTAGGAGGGAGGTTGGAGCTGAGGAAAAGAACTACCATGTCTTCCAGGGCTTTGAGGAGACCAGATGCGTGGCCTTCTGGCCAGGCGTCTGCGATTGCACATTGTTGGAGCGATCATTGTGTCCCTGGGGGTTGCAGCTTTCTGTGAGTTTGCTGTGGGGGAACCAAGAAAGAAGGCATTTGCAGATTCCCACAGGAACTGTAATTCCAGGGAAGAGTTTGAGGAGATGAAGAAGGCTGGCATCTCTCAGAGTGCAAAGGGACCTTGGAATGTAAGGAATTTCTTTGGGTTGAATTCCATGGAAGTTTGTCACTGAGCTGTGCTCCTGAATATGAAACAGGGATATCTGAGCTAAGGCAGTGATGGCGAACCTTTTGAGCTCGGCGTGTCAGCATTTTGAAAAACCCTAACTTAACTCTGGTGCCGTGTCACATATAGAAATTTTTTGATATTTGCCACCATAGTAATACAAAGACTTATATTTTTGATATTTATTTTATATATTTAAATGTTATTTAACAAAGAAAAATTAACCAAAAAATGAGTTCGTGTGTCACCTCTGACACGTGTGTCATAGGTTCGCCATCACTGAGCTAAGGAATAGTTCTCTTGATAAAGAAATGATTTGATAAATAAATGATTAAGAAATAAAAAAGAGCCCGGCTGGCGTGGCTCAGTGGTTGAGCATTGACCTATGAAACAGGAGGTCACGGTTCGATTCCCAGTCAGGGCACTTGACTGGCTTGCAAGCTCGATCCTGGTGTGGGGTGTGCAGGAAGCAGCTGATCAATGATTCTCTCATCATTGATGTTTCTATCTCTCTCCCCTTCTCATTTCCTCTCTGGAATCAATAAACATATATTTAACAACAGCAAAAAAATAAAAATAAATAATAAATAAGGAAGTTGCAAAGAGAGTAAATATTAAAAGTTTTCATCACAAGAAAAAAACCTTTTTTGGTACCTACATGTGGTGACGCATTTTAACTAGACTCATTGTGGTGGTCATTTCCCAGTACAGTTGACCCTGAACAACGTGGGGTTAGGAGCACCACTACTCCCACCTCCACCCCCACAAAGTCGAAAATCCAAGTATAACTTTTGATTCCTCAAAAACTTAACTACAGCCCTGGCCCAGGGGTTGGAGTGCCGTCTGTACACTGAAGGGTTGCGGGTTCGATTCTCAGCACATACCCAGGTCGTGGGTTTGAGCCCCAGTTGGGGTACCTATGGGAGGCAACAGATCAATGTTTCTCTCTCACAACAGTGTTTCTCTCTCCCTCTCCTTTCCCCTCTCTAAAATCAATTAAAAAGAAACATTAAAAAGCTTTTTTAAAAACGTAACTATAGTTGTCCCTCGTTATCTGTGGGGGATTGGTTCCAGGACCCCGTGGACACATAGTTCCGCAGATGCTAAAGTCCTTTACGTCACATGGCATAGCATCCAGTCGGCCATCGCTATTGGAACCCCAACCACGGACTGAAGAGACTGTTTGACCCACGGTTGGTTGAATGTGCAGATGTAAACCGGTAGATAGGGAAAGCTGAATGTATGTCTAGTGAAAACTACCCCCATATAAGTGGACCCGTGCAGTTCAAACCCATGCTCAAGAGTCTACTGTATGTACAAATAGTGAATCATTACCTTGCACGCCTGAAACTAATGTTAAATGTCAATTATACCTCAAAAAACAAGCACAAAAAACCTAAAACTTATATACTCACTCTGCACCAAACACTGAGGCTAAGCACTTTGTGTATACTTCAGTTAACCCCCATAATAACTGTTACTATCCCCATTTTAGGGATAACACACGACATAA